CCCCCCCCCCCCCCCTTCATTTACCAGGTCAAGGCGTACCGCGATGCGGCGGGGCCCCGCGTGCTCCGCCAGCTGACGGAGAGCGTGCAGTCTGGCCTGGAGACGGGCGTTTTCCCTCAGGAGGCCAAGGACGCCAACGAAGCCCTGATCGAGAGCTTCAAGGTGTGTTCGTGTCTGTCTTGTTTGTTTGCATCGACCACGCTCATGGGCTGACCAATGAAGTGACGTCAGTCTCAGTGAGGTTGTAAACAGGAAATGCTTCTAAAGGCACCATGATATCGGGCCCCGTGAAGGAGGCGTCATGGGGGAGGCTTAAGTGCGTGTGTGCTTGTGGGTTAAGTGTGTCAATTGTATGTATGTGTACGTAGCGAAAACAGGTGCTGGCTTGGGTGTGTATGTCGATTGTGTGCTGTATCTGTCTCGAGAGATGCTTGCTTCAAGGTGTGTTTGTCTCGATTGTGAGTACATGGTGCGAACATAGATCCTGCCATACATTCATACATTTTGTCGGTGCGTACGACCGAACGGCCGGTTCCGTCTCATGGTTTCGCGGATGTTCCGTATTTGCGTGTGTTCGCATACATGGTGCGAAAACAGATACTACCATGCACACCGGGTGTCACTGCGCACGGCCGAACTGCCGGTTCCATCCCACATATCGCGGCGTGCTCCATGTGTGTGTCGGTTGTGTGTTTATGGTACGAAAACAGATCCCACACCGCAGTGTGGGTGTCAGGGCACGCCTCACTGTCGCTCCATTCCGTACTTTCGCGGCGTGTTCCGTGTGTGTGCTCCTCGGCGTATCGGAACGTCGTCAATCTTCTAATCCCCGCAACGAACAACGAACGCTTGTGCACGTGTTTGGTGGTGTTGGTTTACTTTGTGTTGGTGTAGCAAGCCCCACTTTTGAAACGCCGCAGATCCCGCCCGCATCAAATGCATGTCTTGGAGAGGCGATGAAGGCGACGTTGTTCCATTTTTTTTTTTCGTTTATCCCTGTTTTTTTCCCACCGCCATCTCTCGCCCAGATCCCGTACGTGGTGATCGCGGAGCAAGCGAAGGACCTGTACAAAAAGACCCTCACCGCCTACGCCGGCGGCAACCGCATCATCACGGTGGACGAGAAGGACACCCTCGACAAGATGGCCGAGTTCCTGTCCATGGACTCCGCAGCTGTCGATGAGATCCACGCTGAGGTATGTAGGTTGGCCGTGGCTTTGGAAGTGGTCGTGTCGAGGCTGCGTGTGTACTTTTTTGGACGGGTGGAGGGGGGTATCGTAAGGTAGGAAAAAATTGGCGACGTGGGTGCTGGTTCGAGATGTCTGGTAGTGATGGTTGGGGCTGTGCTCTTTTTTTTTTCGGGGGAGAGGTGGTGGTGTTAACGTGGGCGATGCGTCAGGCTGTTGGGTTGCAAGAATATTCCTTGCGGCGTTGTGACGGTTGTCGTGTGGGCCACGCAGACATGCTTGCTCGTCTTTGCCACCCAAGGATGTCCAATGTCTTGATGATCTCCGCTGCGCACCCCCCCCCCCCCCCCCCCCCCCCCCCCCCCCCCCCCCCCCCCCCCCCCCCCCCCCCCCCCCCCCCCCCCC